CTGTGTAGGGTGCAGCCCGAGCTGGGGCAGCACACACGCCCTGTCCCCACCCTCCCTCACTGTGACCTGCTCCCCTCACCACAGAAACTCTGAAACAAGCGATGAGACCCACCTTCTTGGAATGATGGTCACATTTGGGGGCAAATAGAGAATTTGAGTTTGGAGAAAAGTTGTTACTATAATGTGGTCATTAGTAGCATGTAGCGCATGTGGGTGAAAGTTTGATTCTTCATGAATTGTCTTGCTGTCTCTCTCAGTCTGGTAGTTGAAGAATATCAACTCCAAAGGGCCAGTGAGTTTGCGTGTCCATTCGGTGTAAATTTTAAGTGTGTGTGTGTGTGTGTGTATATATATATATTTTTTTTAAATATATTTTATTGATTTTTTACAGAGAAGAGGAGAGAGGGATAGAGAGCTAGAAACGTCGATGAGAGAGAAACATGGACCAGCTGCCTCTTGCACACCCCCTACCGGGGATGTGCCCGCAACCAATGCACATGCCCCTGACCGGAACTGAACCTGGGATCTTTCAGTCCACAGACTGACGCTCTACCACTGAGCCAAACTGGTTTCGGCTTAAAAAAAAAAAAAAAAAAAAATATATATATATATATATATATATATATATATATATATATATATATATATATATTATTGATTTTTTTACAGAGAGGAAGAGAGAGGGTTAGAGAGTTAGAAACATTGATCAGCTGCCTCTTGCATGCCCCCTTCTGGGGATGTACCTGCAACCAAGGTACATGCCCTTGATGGGAATCAAACCTGGGACCCTTCAGTCCGCAGGCCTACGCTCTACACACTGAGCCAAACCGGTTTTGGCACGGTGTAAATTTTTGAGGGAGCACAGCTGTATTAAACTTGCTCTGGGTATCACGGTGCCCCCTGTCCCAGATGCCCACTGCCCTGTGCCAATGCTCCGTGCCGACATCCCATGCCCACAGAGGAATGGAGAATTATTTGGGTCCAGCCAGTCTCTGAGGCCCATTGGATCCAGAAAGCAACGTGAAGGAGTGGGGAAGTGTGAGCTGGGAGGAAAGGCTTTGGGACCCGGACCGGGTGTGCATGATGTGCTTGTGTCCTCTTCGTTTTCCCAAGATTGGAAGCTGTTGGAGTGTTGGGTCCTGCCTCTTATTCTGTCGCTTCTCCTGCTTAATTCTGGGCTACGCATAAAATAATAATGCATGTGAATATTACATCAGTGAAAACGGCTCTCCTCCCCTCGCCTCAGAAGGTAGCCTGAGGGGGGCGGGAGGAGCCTTTGGCATGAGTAGAATCAGAATCTCAGAGGACACGGATGATCACACAGGTGAATAAAACCATTGCCGAAGGCAAAGTAGCTATTGTGTTACTTCTAATTGCTAGAATTTACTTCATGGTCCAGAAGATCTCAAACTAGTCTAGGCCATGGCTGAAAGGGTTGCATCTCTGGGAGAAACTCAGATTCCTCCCAGAGGGCAGCCAGTAAGTGGAAGGGTCGCTAATAGCAAAAATTTGGGTATTTGGGGAAAACCAACAGAATTCGATCAAATGTATGACCCGTTCCATGAAGCAAGAATCTCATTCCTGGTCCCCAGGGAGCACAAATACCAATTACGGTGCTCTCAAAGAGACAAGTGGGTACATTTTGTCAATTTTCTAATACGGTGGATGGTCACCCTTCACCAACCATGGGATTGACAGCCCATCAAAGTACTTATCTATAGCAGCAAAACCATAGCTGGCAAGGTCAAGGCCTCATAAAACATAGGCACTGGGAAAACAATAAAAGTTGCATTCCTATATGTGATTAAAACAGTGAGTGAAAGTTCTAGCAGGCATCCATCCCCAAAGGAACCGCATTAAACCACTGTTTAATGAGGAGCATGACCACCCGTGGGTGACTTTTGAATTGCCTTCTTAAGTGCCCACATCACCGCTGAGGCAGAAGCACCCAGCAGCCACCAGCTGTTTAATGCGGTAAGCCAGCCCCACTGGCTGGGAATGAAGAACTCTTTGCAATTGTTCCTGTGTCTCCCTCCTCCCAACTCTCTCCTCTCCCACTCCTCCTCTTCCTCTCCTGGTGTCTTCCCCTCCCTTCTCTTTCAAATACAACTTGAGCAATTGTGTAACCTCCTAAGTTTTCATAATTTATGTAAGAGATTAAGGATATATATATTAATATTTTTTATTGATTTCAGAGAGGGAGAGAAAGATAGAAACATCAATGATGAGAGAGAACTATTGATTGACTGCCTCCTGCACACCCCCACTGGGGTTCAAGCCTGCAGCCCAGGCACTGGGAATGGAGCTGTGACCTCCTGGTACATAGGTCAACACTCAACCACTGAGCTTCGCTGGCTGGGCAAGGGCATGTTTTTTGAAGTCTGGTCTTCCCTCCTGAATTATTTAGGAAGGTCAGTCTTACTGGTCTCTATTTCTCTCCTCTCTGTATACTTTCCTATAGTAGCCCGTCTACAGAGTCTACAGGAAGAGAACAATAATTGTCGATTTTCCTCTGAGGAGTTAGGATAGAAGTAATAAGATAGTTGACTTTATATTTTTGGTAGCAAGTATAAAACAGTATTATCTCAAAAACTGGAGTGAAAGATTACTGCACATAAAATGCTAAAAACAAAAAAACAAACAAAAAAAAACTTATGGCCCTAGCCAGTTTGGCTCAGTGGATAGAGCATTGACCTGCAGACTGAACGATCCTGGGTTTGGTTCTAGTCAAGGGCCTGTACCTTGGTTGCAGGCTGATCCGCAGCCCTGGTTGGGCACGTGTGGGAGGCAACCAATCATTATGTCTCTCTCACGTCGATGTTTCTCTCTGTCTCTCCCCCTCCCTTCTACTGTCTCTAAAGATAAAGAGGAAAAATATCCCCGTGTGAGGATTCACAACAACAAAAACAAACAAACAAGACACCCTTAAGGTTTATGAGAGATGCTGGAAAAGAAAGAGTGGGTGGGACAGTGAGAAGCAATCTGGTTGTTGGCTGTCAGAGAGGAAGGAGAAGACGGAGAAATATAGAGAGCACACTTTCACCTGAGCGTTACATGGAGGATAGGCTCTGCTGATCTCTACATGTCTCAGAGCTCTGTCCAAGGATGCAGCCCGAGGGATTTAGGCTGGGCACACAGACCGTCAGGGTGGCTAAATAGGGGCCAGGGTCACAGTAGCCTTGGGATTTAGTTCAGCTGCCAGTGACAGGAACACCCAAAATAACAGGCTTAAACAAGACAAGCGATCACCAGGAAGACCCGGAGGCGGCAGTCCGGAGCTGGGATATTGACCCCGCAGGATGAGGGCCCGCCTGGCCTATGTGTTGTGCTCCCCCAGGGTGTGGCTTCCTCTTTACCGTTTAGGATGGTGGTGTAGCTCCCGCCATGGCGGCTCGGCTACGATGTCCCACCAGCACCGCAGTGGACCTTTACTTGGCCAAAGCTGAGGCATCACATCTCCCTGTGAGAGAGGGAGATTGAAGGCGTCATCCGTTAGCTCTGTGCCAACATGCCCAGCCAGAATAGGAGAGAGAAGAGGAGGACCTTCATAACTAAGCAAAGTCATAGAGGTGCCTCATCTTGGCATATGTATTCATTCAGGGAGGACAGAGTGCCTAATACATTCAGGCATTGCTTGGGGGGAGCTGGGAAGAAGACACTTGGGTCCCTGCTCTTGTGTTACAATCCAGTGGGAGCGAGACAGACACTAAACTAACAGTGAATGTGGCCCAGTGGACAGTCTACATTCTACCCTCAAGTCTTCCCAGCGAGCTGTCTTCAGGAGCACCTGTGCGTGAGCCGTGGTCCGAGCAGACCGTGTCCCACAGCACTGCTGACTCCTGCGGGCATCGGGCAGCCGACAGCAGCCTCTCTGACATGGATTCAGCTTATCAAACCCTCCCATGCCTGCACTGGAAGAACAATGGTGGGGAAGAGGAGGAGGGAGAAGTAAACAATTAGTAAGCCAGAGCCCCACCTTGAAAATGGCCCCTGAGTCATTCTGAGGCCAGTGCCTCCATGGGCTCGCATGCTCAGAAAGACCAGGATAAGAATCCAGCTGGGAAATCCTGTCTGTTTTCATTTTCTCTGGTGGAGAGGCATGTGGGGCCCTGTCCCCGCTCGGGGACAGAGCAGGGTGATAAGGATAGCTTGCTAGTTCCTTAGGGCTTTTGAGGCCAAGCAGGGGGACTTGGGAAAACACAAGGACACAGCCTTTTCCTGCTCCCATGACCTCCAGCCAGCCGTCGCTGAGCCTGGTTTTGCTGGGAACCGGGCAGGTGTCCAAGTGCAGGTCACAGGTCGTCAGTGGGCGTGGTTTCTAAATTAAACTGGAAGCCAGTGCTGCCCACCCGGCAGAGACTCAGACCATCTGAGGTGAAGGACCAGTTGTCGCTGTTTTGGTTTAACGTTTCAGCTTCCAATCTGACTTAAAAATAAAATATTAGGAAATGAAATTAAAAAGGCACACAAAATGTAAGCGTAGACTTCTATTATCAGATTCAAGAAATGTAAAATTGCTCTGAAAGTCTCCAAGGCTGACTCCATTCCTGGCCCGGATTTGCCGGTAGCAGCGAATCCAGAGCTGCCACCACCAGCCAGCTGGGTTCGGCTGTCCCTCCCGGCTTCGGTCCCCAGGACAGCACTGAGGAAGCGCTCTGCAGCCTCGGCGTGCCTCAGGCCCGCGCATCTCCCTCTGGTGCCCCTGCCCAGCTGCCCACGTTTTTAACTGCCACCTGAGTGGACTGATAAAGGCACAGCGTGGCCGTCTTTCCGATCACAGTCCCCATGGGCAGGTGGACGTTATACTGCACACTCAACAGCCAGAGAAACGAAAGGTCGCAGCTAATTGTAATCATTATCCAGGCTCCCCTACCTGGACAGGGCTCTGGGCATACACGGGTCTGATCGGCAGAGCAGCCAGCCGTAAGGCGGGCAGCCGTCGCCAGCTGGCCCGGCGGGCGTGGGCAGGGCGGGAGGTCAGTGTGGACTCTGTGTTGCAGTTCTCCAAGGAGAGGCACGTCATGGACAGAACCCCCGAGAGGCTGAAGAAGGAGCTGGAGGAGGAGCTGCTGCTGAGCAGCGAGGACCTGCGCAGCCACGCCTGGTACCACGGCCGCATCCCCCGACAGGTACCTGCCTCCTCCCTGCCAGCACAGCCCGGCTGTGCTCACGCAGCACGCAAACCCAGGACCCTACAGGGTCCTGCACCGAGGCCATGTAGGAGGGAGCCCCTGTTTAGCCAAAAACAAATACCAGAAAATGCCCCGCAGTGTCTTAACTAAGGACACCTTGGGAAAAGCGAAAGTCAGAAAACCAAAGTACACTTCCCCACGCCCAGCAAGTGGATGCGGAAAAGGCAGGTGCTCTGTGGTCTGCAAACACGGGGCCGGCAGGAGGCGGCCACCGCAGGGTGGTACCTGAGAAGCAAGGCCGGGCTGTGGTTCTGATGATTGAACTGTTGGCTGGCTGCCTGCAGCCTCACGCCCTCTGCAGCCTGCTTCCTTTCTGAGGCAGCGGCTTACGTTCCAATAAAGAGGGATATCACTGAGGCAGCGGCGGGCGCAGAGCAACAATGCTCCCTTCCCCCCCCATGCACTGCCCGGCCCCCTGGCCCAGGGATTGGGGGGAGGGGGTCAGGTCAGTGATTACAGATTCATGGCCTGGAGTGTACTTTGCGATGGCTGTTTGAGCGGTAGCCATAAATAATGAGGCTTTGTTTGTTTAATAATATAGAAAGTGGAAAATAAAATAAGCACAGTACCAAGGTCCAGAATTTTCCTTGGGCTTTTATTACAACCTGACCCACCAATCATTTACCCAAGACAATATGACAGGAAAGGAGTGGGCGGGGGTGAGGGGAAGGGCATCATGTCATAGTTATTTTTTTAATGAAGCATATTTTTCAGCTTTATGAATGAAATAATCCTTAGTCTAACTTTTTCTCTCTTTTTTTAAAGTTTAAATTTGATTGTAGAAAATGCAGGGAGATAAAAAGGAAGAAATTGCCCCCTCACCCCTAATTCTCCCTCCTGGAGATAACCACTGTGAACGTTTGATAAAAATCCTCCCAGACTTTTCTAAATCAAGGATGACATCACACCCCATATCCATTTTGGAAGCCCACTTTCTCCACTTAAAATGGTACAGTTAGAATTTCCTCTAACTGTCAAGTATTCTCCTATACCAACCTACGTTGTGTGCATTTTCATTGTACACACGCACCATTATCTATTGGGCATGCTGACCAGCATCCTGTAAGATCACGTCTATGTTCACAGCTATAATTATTTCCTCAGGCTCAATTCCAAGAAGTGGAAATTTTTTTTGGGGGGTGGGGTGACAAAAATATTTTTAAGGCAAAGATGACTCAAAGTAACCATGGCGGCATACTGTTCTAAGCTAACTGATCCAGTGTTGGAATGGCCTGGGAAAATTATCAAAGTTTATAAAACCTATGACTGTCCCTGCCATGCTTCTCCCTCTCTCGACCATAAAATTGGTTTCCACGTGCCATGAGTGTGAATTTTCAGCTCTACATCATCCCAGCTTGCATCCCTGAACCCTGTAACAATAATAATGAGAGTTACGGCTAACGCTCCTTTCCATTTTGTCTGCTGCTCTGTAGTCACATGATCCCTGCTCTTCAGGTCCCATAACGGAGCCACAGAGAGATAGGTAACTTGCCCAGAGTCGCACAGTGGAGCCAGAACGCAAACCTGGGCCTGCTGCCTATCAGATCACCCTGCTCCACAGTGTACATTCTCCTTTTTCTATAAACGTCGGCGATTTTTAAATCGGATACCGTGTTCCATTGTACTTGTGCTTTGCATCTATTGTGGATGCAGACGTATATTCCTCCCGACTTTGTTCCAGGGCCTCCGTCTGGCCAGGGCCCTGTCCACGCCCAGCCCTGCCTGCCCATTTCGCAGACCCTTTGCTCTAGCCCCATCCTTTCTTCCTCCGAGCACCCTGCCCACCCTCTGCTCCCGCTGAGCCCCGCCTGCAGCACTGCCTTCGCATCCAACCAAATGCGCCCTGGCCTTCAGACCAGCTGGCTCCTCCTCCCTCCTCCTTAAAACCTCTCCTGGCCAAGCCCCCTTCCTCAGCAGCCACGCCATTTACCTTTGGCACCAACTCAACTGGGAACTGATCCTGCGCCACTTTGTGACAGCAATCCCCCATCCCCTCCCAGGCACCTACCTCCTGGTGTACTTTTTCCTCCACTTTATGACATCTGACACACCATGCCCTCCTCGCTGAAAAGAAGCTCTCCACTCAGAATAGAAGGCCCGTGCCGTGGCGACTCCAGGCTGCTTACTTCACTGCTGTGAACCCGGTGCCTTCAGCAGGACTTGGCACCTACGGGGGTGGCCAGCACGAATGACTGGGTCCTCTAAGAATCAGACGTTTGAAACGTCAAGAGCCAACGGAGGGAGTAGAGACAACATGGCATTGTCTTCTGTCGGCCCAGAGAAGCGGGGAGAAATACAGGTCTTAAAGGGAATGTAAGCTTGCCTTGCTTTCCTGAAAGCTCCTCACTCGCGGATTTGTCCCCAAAGGTGTCAGAAAACCTGGTGCAGCGAGATGGCGACTTCCTGGTCCGAGACTCCCTGTCCAGCCCCGGGAACTTCGTCCTGACCTGCCAGTGGAAGAACCTCGCTCAGCACTTCAAGATCCAGCGGACGGTCCTCCGGCTCAGCGAGGCCTACAGCCGCGTGCAGTACCGGTTCGAGGCGGAGAGCTTCGACTCCGTACCCGGCCTGGTGCGCTGCTACGTGGGCAGCCGCCGGCCCATCTCCCCGCAGAGCGGGGCCGTCATCTTCCAGCCCGTCAACCGGACGGTGCCCCTGCGCTGCCTGGAGGAGCGCTACGGCGCCGCCCCCCGCCCGGCCCGCGACGGCAGCCTCCTGGAGGGGCGGCCGGACGTGGCCCAGAGGCTGAGCCTCGCCACGGCCAGCGTGCAGGCCCGAGAGCCCGGCCTGCCCAGAGGAAACCTGCTCAGGTGGGTCAGGGCCTCCGGGGGGCGGGGCCGTGTCCGGGCTTAGCGAGGCAGACGACGGGGAGCTCACCCTCCCTGGAAAGATATTCATCAGATGGGCCGGGGGGGGGGGAAATGTCATAGACAGAAATATCCCGAATTCAGGAATTCAGAAGGAAAATACAGGATTCTGAGAAACACAAAGTACAGCTGTGCTGCGAGGAAGCTCTCGTAGATGTCAGTCAGCATCTGGCTGTGCCCCGCCTCCCACCTGGCGAGCCCTGGGCAAGCTGCTCGCCTGCTCTGGGAAGATAGGGCTTGTGGGGGTTAAATGGTTTCAGGGTGCAGAGTGCTTAGAACAGCACATAAGTGCTAAGTGTGTGTTAACCATAATGATTATTTCTGGAGGGAAGTAGAATGCAAGACTGAAGACAGTTGCAGGAAGGGAGGGAGAATTTTTTTTTTTTTTAATTATCACCCAATACTATGTGTTGCTTTTTTTTTATTATTGATTTTAGAGAGATAGGAAGGGAGAGAGAGAGAGGGAGAGAAACATCAATCGGTTGCCTCCGATATACACCCTGACAGGGATCAAACCCGCAACCTAAGTATGTGCCCTGACTGGGAATTGAACCGGCAACCATTCTGGTGTACAGGATGATGCTCCAACCAACAGAGCAGCCATCCGGCCAGGGCAGGGAGGAAGAACTTTTATCTAAGGCCGTGGACGGCAAACTGCGGCTCTTTGGCCCCTTGAGTGTGGCTCTTCCACAAAATACCATGGCCTGGGCGAGTCTATTTTGAAGAAGTGGCATTAGAAGAAGTTTAAGTTTTTAAAAAATGTGGCTCTCAAAAGAAATTTCCATCGTTGTACTGTTGATATTTGGCTCTGTTGACTAATGAGCCTGCCAACCACTGCCCTAAGGTATTTAGAAATTCTCCTGCCCACGGTAATAAGACCAGATTCGAGATCCCTTAAGATGTTCAAGTGGTAGGTACTTTTTTCTTGTTTCTCCTGGGAATTCTTCAGCTGAAGAGCAGGGAGTCAACGCCATGACAGGGCCGGAGGGTGGCTGTGGACACACAGAAGCCCCACTGAGTCTGGCTCAGGGAGGAGAGGCCCTGGTCTGCCTTCAGAGACGGGGCTTTGAAATAAGACCAGAGATGGAAGAAGGAATGGGAGAGTCCCCGCATGAAGGAGGCAGGCCCAGCAGAGCGCCTCCTTTGCTCACCCTCGGAGAGCAGAGCCCCGAAGCCTGGTCCCCGCTGGGCACAGGCGGCGGGCACAGGAGTGTCTAGCCGTGGGGGCGGGTAGGCTCGACGTCAGTAATGACCGGCGTCCCGCCCCCCTCCCCACCCCCCTGCGTGTCCCTGACTCCGGCCCGAGGGTTGGCTGGCCGGCCGCCACCTGGGCGAAGGTGTGTGCCCAGCCAGGTTGCATTCCAGCTTGGTGTGTGGCCAGCGGAGCCTGGCTGTCCCGGTGATCACTGCTTAAGGATCACTTTTCAGAAGCCATTGCCTTGTGGAATTTGCCCTCTGCCCTGCCTTATCTCTGAGGGGTTGCTGGAATTTCTCTGTTGCTGGGAATTTGGAGGTGGTGGTTTTTTTAAAAAAAAAAATCGGGTTTTTTTTGTTTTGTTTTTTTTCCTTTGGTGCTTGAAAAAGGTAGGAAAAACGTTGTGATTTCTGTAACATAAGCTTGTAGGAGGGCCGAAGAAAGGTCATTACAACTTGTACAGTGCTTTCTCTTCTAGCAGAGAGGAGATTCTGTTCCTTGGTGCTGGAGACATTGCCACCTGAACTGGCAAAGGCCTGGGGCACACTAGCTGGCCGTGTGGCAGTTCGGTCCCCCCTCGCCCCTGCGGGCCTGCGCCTCCCAGCTGCCGCCCCCCGCCCCGCCCGCCCGAGGGAGGGGGCTGTGCCGGCCCCCAGGTGGGCCTGGGGAGTGTTTGGGGGAACCTGAGGTTTACACTGAAGTGGAAACCGTGACACTGTTAACCTTGTGGGAGAGTGGCAGGCCAGTAAGTCGTTCCTCCTTGGATTAGACTCTGTAAAAAGTGCACGTTTCAGCTTATCAGGTTTTCCTGAGAATCTTCTGAAACGCTTCCCCTGCTCTGATCCGCTGATTGGGAAGGCCCAGAGGAGGCCTCCCGGCCGGCCGGCCGGGCTGTGGCCTGACCAGGTGGTGGGGCTGCGGGATGGAGCCCCCGGCACCGTCCTGTCATAATCGCCCCATCAGCAGTCTCACCCGCAGACATTCCGGGCCTGTTGGGGTATGCGGAGGCACTTGTGTGCTGAGCAATCGCTCTGCCGTGTTGCTTAAAGGCTCATGACTTAATGATAGGTTTCTGCCGGCTTGTCTTTCGCTCCAGAAATAAAGAGAAGAGCGGCAGTCAGCCCGCCTGCCTGGACCACATGCAGGACAGAAGAGCCTTATCCCTCAAAGCCCACCAGTCGGAGAGCTACCTGCCGATTGGTAGGTCCCTGGGGATGTTGGGGGGAGCGGGGGTTGGGGGGGGGGGAGACAGTGTTCCCCTGATTTCGTTCAGGCTGTTTTTCTGCTCCATCTGGTCACCTCCTTTGGGGAAGACCTGGGGCTCTGCCTGCAGAGGTTTGTAGGACTCGATCCGGATGGGAATCACTGAGCTGGGTGCTTTAAGCACTAGCTTCTGAGCCTCTTAACAAGGCGAGCACCGTTATTCCCTTTCCGAGGCTGAGGAAACTGAGGCACAGAGGTTAAGTGCCTTGCCCAGAGGCACGGATCAGGTGAGCGGATAAGCCAGCATTTGAACTCAGGTTTTCTGATTCCGAGCCCACGCGAGAACATGGGTTTTCATGACTAGTGCGCCTGCGTGGTCCACTCCCAGGACCGGGTGGGGGGCTGGTCCCGGGCTTGTGGTGGAGCAGCTGTCTAGCAACCCCTCCTCCTCTCGGTTCTCCTTTCACCGCCAGAAGAGTGTGAAGGTGTGGGATGTGGGGAAACCGAGTCAGCAATTATATCAGTAGCCATGGGATCGTCTTTCCTTCTTTTTATTTATTTATTTTAAATGTATTTTATTGATTTTTTTACAGAGAGAAAGACAGAGGGATAGAGAGTTAGAAACATCGATGAGAAAGAATCATCGACCAGCTGCCTCCTGCACACCCCCTACTGGGGATGTGCCCGCAACCAGAGTACAATGCCCTTGACCGGAATCCAACCTGGGACCTTTCAGTCTGCAGGCCGACGCTCTAGCCACTGAGCCAAACCGGTTTCGGCTATTTATTTTTAAATACTATATATTTTATTGTGGGTTGTTTTTTTTTTACAGAGAGGAAGGGAGAAGGATAGAGAGTTAAAAACATGAATGAGAGAAATACCAACTCAGCTGCCTCCTGCACACCTCCTACTGGGGATGTGCCTGCAACCAAGGTGCATGCCCCTGACTGGGACCCGTCAGTCCTCAGGCCGACGCTCTGTCCACTGAGCCAAACCGCTTAGGGCTCTTTCATTCTTTTTATGCCTGACCGTCCTTGGGACCACACGGTGATTTTCCTAATGCTCCTTAAACCATTTCGATGGGGGGCGTTGCACCGTCTTTCTCCTCCTTCCCAGTGGGCCTCTAGCTCTCCCGCTGGGCCCGCCCTGGCTGAGAGGGAGCAGAGACCTGTGTGTGTGTGCCAGGCGGCTGAAGGCGTGGGTGTCTGAGGGCACGATCAGATCACTCCCCGCGGAGCCCGTGTGTTTCCCTGCTCTGACTGCCCTGACTTTCTGTGACCGCCCAGCTGCCAGCAGGCAGCCCCTGGGACTCCAACTCCCCCGGAACTGTGGGGTCCGGCCAGCTTTGCCCTCAGGATGTCCCAGCCGTCTCCAGGCTGGGCATGGGTGGTCACACACAGTCACCTTCAGGGGATGAAAACTCATGGCCTAGGTAGGGCACGAAGGGAGAGCTGGGACGCCGTCACTCTAGCTTGCTCTGTTGTGTGTGCTCCCCACGTGAGCTGAGCTTCTTCTGACCCCGTCTCACCCTCCACAGGCTGTAAGACGCCCCCGCGGTCCTCGGGCGCGGACACGAGCCCCTGCCCCAGCTCCCCGGTGTTCCGGACGGGCAGCGAGCCCACGCTGAGCCCGGCGGTGGCGCGGAGGGTCCCCTCGGACGCCAGGCCCGGGGAGGCGCTGCGGGGCTCGGACAGCCAGCTGTGCCCCAAGCCGCCCCCCAAGCCCTACAAGGCGCCCCTCCTCAAGGCTCCCCCGTCTCCGTCCCCCTGGCTGCACGCCGAGGCCAACTACTGCGAACTGAGCCCCGCCACGGTGGCCTCGGGCTGTGACCGGGCAGCCAGGCCGGCCCTCGGCGCCCAGGACAGCTACGTGGAGCTGCTGAAGGCCAAGCAGAATGGGGCACCGGGCTCCCGGAATTCTGGCACCAACTACCTGATTCTTGATGACAGTGACAGGGCCGGGCCGGGGGCGCCCCCGGCGGCAGCAGCAGCAGCGGAGCAGATGGGCCGGGGGCAGGAGGCTGAGTTCACGATGCCCCTCCTGGAGACCGCCTCCTCCTTCAGGCCCAACGACTTCGTGTCCAAGCTCCTCCCGCCCGAGAACAAGCCCCTGGAAACCGCGATGCTGAAGCGAGCCAAGGAGCTGTTCACCAGCAACGACCCCAAGGTCATCGCCCGGCACATGCTGAGCGTGGACTGCAAGGTAGGGCCCCGGGCGGGCGGGGTTTGCTCTGGCGGACGAGCATCTGGAAAGGAGCATCTGTCCGCGCCTCACTCCGCCTCACCCTTTGGCTCAGGGGCGGGGAACCTTTGTCCGGCCGAGGGCCATTTGGATATTCATAACATCATTCGAGGGCCGTACACAATCATCAACCTAAATATTAGTTCTGCTCTGTTGGGTCAGATATTTAATGAGCTCACCCCTAAGGCCCTGGCAGGGCCAGACCCAATGATTTCTCAGGCTTTATAGGGCTGGAGGGCCAGACATTCCCCACCCCTGCAGAGTGGAAGGGCTTTGTTCATAGGAGAAGTCCGAAGATCACAGCAGTGTGGGGGTTTATTTTAGGGGTGGGAGCCACCGGCCACGATCACCTTTGCCCAGGCAGGAAGCTCATAAACCTCACCTGGGACACAGGGATGGCAGCTGCTGCCCGGCGCCCGCCTTCGTCCCCAGCCCCCCCCCCCAGCCCCGCTGGTGTCTGGGCTCCTGCAGCACCCCCCAGCTGGGGCTGATCGCAGAATCCTCCCCGGCCTCACGTCTGCCCGAGCTGGGAAAGCCAAGCGCGAAGGAAAGAGGACGGGGATGAAAGTGTAGTTTCTGCAGGAGCAGAGCTTGGTTATTTTTATTCACATTATATATTTATTGTTACTAAATGGTTATTGGGGTAATCAACATTTTAAAGTTACCTTGATTTTTTAAAATAAGTAATGCTTGCTAAATTCAGGAAAAAAATGATAAAAATGCAGAGTAAGAAGAAAGATGAAAATCACCCAGAATCCCGTTTCCTGGGGCTCTCCTTGCTAACATTCACTCTGCAAGCGGAGACACGGAGATACTGGCGTGCAGGTCTGGTCGCTCACCACAAAAATGGCACCGCCCGGACACACGGCTCCAAACCCCGAGTCTCCCTCCCTCCAGCACCCTGTGCCTGCCCTCCCCTGTGACCGCAGACCTGTATGTTTACGTCGCCCTCGTTTCTTAAAGGGAGCGTGTCTTTTATTCTGGGCGTCCTTTGTTCGGAACTGGCCCAGGGCAGGCTCCTCCCTCGGGGAGAGATTTCTAGAAAGCAGGTGTCTCCGGCCGGGCGGCCCAGCCTGCTCCTCGGGGAAGGGACAGGTCTTTGCATCTGCAATCTCGTTTGAGGCTCCGTGAAATCAATGAGCTTCAAAGGTCAGGGCTTATTTAGGAACTGGCCTTCCCAAAATAAATTTCCTTTTATTAAGGCCGTAAATCACGGCAGGAAGTGGTCTCTGAGCACCCCTCCCTCAAGGAGCTCCTAATGGATTGAGGGCTCACGTGGTCAGCAGGCAGCCTCCCGCCTGGCTATGCCAGGGTAACAAACGCCTTCCTGAAAACAGGGCTGAGGGATCACTCAGCTGACCTCATGCCAGGCCTGGGAGAGGTGTGTGTGTGTGTGTGTGTGTGTGTGTGTGTGTGTGCGCGTACGTGTGTGTGTGGGGGGGTGTATGTGTGTGGTGTGTGTGTGTGTGTGTGTGGTGTGTGTGGTGTGTGTGCGTACGTGTGTGTGGGGGGGGTGTATGTGTGTGGTGTGTGTGTGCGTGCGCGTGTGTGTGCGCTCGCACGTATGTACCTGTGTGTGTGTGTGTGTGTGTGTACGTGGGGGGGTGTATGTGTGCGTGGTGTGTGTGTGCGTGTGTGGTGTGTGTGCGCGCGCATATGTACGTGTGTGTGTGTGTGTGTGTGTGTGTGTGTGTGTACACATGTCGGGGGGGGGGGGGCCTGAGCGGACAGCCAGGAGGGGCTGCTCGGGCAGCTCACGTGGTTGGCCGAGTGGCCCTGGGCAGTGCTCACAAATGGCCGGATAATCACCGGGCCGGGTCCTCACTGTAAAGCCAGCTGAACCTGTTTGGACAGTAAGAGGCTTGGAGTGCCTGCCGCAGGACGTCACCCGCACAGAGCCGGGCGTGAACCGGCCCAGGTTCTCGGAAAAGCAGGCTCCTCGAAGAGGCAGGTCTGGGTTCACGTAACTGCCTAGTTCCCCGGAGGAAGTGAACCCTCTTCCTTGTGGCCTCGAGCCGGCCTCGGTGGGAACGTGGGAGGTGAGACGCTGAGCATTGGTGCAGAAGGGTCTAGAACCTTCTCCCACGTTGGCGGCCATGAAACTAGACCTTGTGTCTGTTTGCAGCAGAAGGAGCATGCAGCCACCCTCTTTCTTGTCCCGCTTCTCTCTGCATTTCATCCCGGGAGGCCCCAGTCCCCCGTCTGCCTTCAGTCCCCCCTGGAAGGCCGAGCCGCCATGGCCAAGACGGGAGCAGGAGCCTGCCCGACGCTCCCCAAGGGCGAGCCGGTTAGTCTTCCTTCCTCCCTCCTGAGCCCACGTCATTTCCTTATCCTCTTCCTGGAACCACCGGCCAGGGCTCTGCCAACAAAGCAGGCACACTCAGTGACTCCGAGGGAAATAAACACGGGCTGTTCCCACCCAGCCCGAGCGCAGCGGCAGCCAGACAGGCCACCCCGAAGCTCAGCGTGCTGGGCAGCACTGAGCCCCGAGGGCTGGTCCCCGCCAGTGCACACAGCCCAGGCTGACACCCACAAAGGCCATCGGGACAGTAGGCGGTCCTGAGCACCCCAAGGCGGCCTGCCCAGCAATGTTGCACCCCACTCCCGGGATTGGGGTGGGCGTCCACTGAGACACCCCCCCCCCCCCACACACACACACACACACACACCTGCAGATGGGAACTGACTGCCCTGACCTCACTCACCCAGAGCCATTCTCCCACCCACTTGTCTTCGCAGTGGCTGGAAGTGAGGGACAGTGGTTAAGAGCTGTCGTGTGTGTGTGTGTGTGTGTGTGTGCGTGGGGGGATGAGCTGTCTGAATGTGATCTTGCCTCTTTCCCTCTCCTGATCTTTCTCTCCCCACCGATAAAAGGAGGAGAATAAAACCAACTACCCTCCATACCATGCCTGGCCAGGATGAGGCCAAGTAAGTGCTGAGTAGTATTCCGTGTTCAGACTGATAGAGTGCCTCTCTTGAACTGATAGGTCACGGTGGGAGAGCGGGAGGGACTGGGATACAGGAATTCAGACCACAGTGCAGGCGGGAAGTGCTCTGCAGGGGAAGGCACAGGAGCTGTGGGGCCCCTGAGGCCGGGTCCTGAGCCTGGGGCAGCGAGGGGGCCAGGTGGATGTCTGAGATGAGTTTTGAAGGCTGAATAGGAGTTGGCCGGATGAAGAATACAAATAGCGTCTTCCAGGCGGCAGACGACACACGCGTGCAGAAACTCCGACGTCAGACACCGTGGCAGGGAACACGCACTCTGTGGGCAGTGAAGGTCGTGGGGGTGGGGGAGTCCTGGCAGGTCTTCCGTGTTTTGAAGTCTCTCCTCGCCAGGCTGCTATCTTCCAAGCACTCTGCAGCGAAGTGAGGGCGACAGGCCTGCGAGGACACAGTGCCCGTCGGTATTCCTCTGACGGCGAGCGGAGCCGGTGCTCTCCCTGCAGCTCCGATGGCCCCAGGCGGCTGGGAGGAGGGCCGGGCATGCCCCGCAGGCGCCCTGGGTCCTGCAGCAGCTCCCGCAGCCGGAGCAGGAGGAGCGGGAGCAGGAGGAGCAGGCGGCGTTCAGAGAACCAGGGGGCTTGAACACCTTATCGTGGGGCTCTGATGGCGCCCTGCCGGGTCCAGCTCATAGTAAAGATTGTTGCTCCCTCGTCTGTGTCTGTGCCTGTGCCTGTGCCTGTGCCTGTGCCTGTCTGTGCCTGTGCCTGTGCCTGTGCCTGTGTCTGTGCCTGTCTGTGTCTGTGTCTGTGCCTGTGCCTGTGCCTGTGTCTGTGCCTGTGCCTGTGCCTGTCTGTGTCTGTGCCTGTGCCTGTGCCTGTGCCTGTATCTGCGTGGCCCTGGTGTTTCCCAGGGCCTCTGACCCAGGCTCTGCACCATGAGCACCAGGACCCCTTGTCCCATAGCTCAGCCACCAGGCAAGTGAGTAGAGGCATTTTCTGATCCAATCCCGGGAAGGTGACCAGGGATTTGAAGGTTTACGTGGAAGGAAAACAGACCAGAGCCTTCCCTGTCAGAGCAGGGATCGCCCCGGATGCTGGTGCTTCCAGAACAAAACCGGATCCAGGACCAGCCCCTGAATCTCGCTCCACAGAGCACGTGGATTGGAGGCCGCTCCACAGATGTGCTGGGTTTGGAGCCTCCGACCGGCAGCTGTCTAAATAAGCAAGCGGAGTGTGTGTGACCACAGGTGGCTGGCGTGCACATCTGGGCCGCCTTGCCGTGGTCAGGGTGTAAATCTCTTTCCGGAGACCAAGCCAGAATCTGTCCCCCTCCTACGTGGCCGATGACTCACACCCTGTATTTTCAAACAGTTCTTTGGGGGTTTCAGCTCAGTGGAGCCTTTGCAAAAGTCCGTGAGAAAGGTGACCTTAGGGTTCTGTTAGAGAAGGGGAAACTGAGGCTCGGGGAGCAGGGTACGAATCCTGCATCCTATTCTGGGGCCCACTGCTGGACAGCCGGTTCCCACAGGCTGGTTTCCCAAGGCTGACCGCGGATCCCTGCTCAACCACAGAGGTTAAGGGTCAGGGTTAATCATAACAGCCAAACTTCCAGATGTGCTTTCGAGCCTATTGCGAAGGCATCTGGGCTGTTCATGGGCCCAGGATCATTGCGCTGGAGGACAGCTCCACAGAGCGAGGGAGGAATGGCCCCGCGCTGGCCGTGCGTCCAGGCGTGATGAGACCGCTGTTCGCGTCAGGGTGCCGCTGCATCGCTGTCTCCATTTTAGAGAGGCACTGGCTCCATCACAACCTTTCGAGGTAACATGTAGTAACTACAGTGGGCCAGCCGATGCCTGGTTCTGATGAGTGTGATTGCACACTGGGCCTGAGATGGGGGCTGCTGGCTGGGACAAACACACAGATTTTCTTGGAGGAAAAGCCCTCTGGGGGAGGCCCCGGGTTTCCGATCTCTGCATGCTTGTCTAATGGTTTCCAGACGTGTGATGCATTGACGGAGCCCGGAGAGGCGTAATGAGGGGTAATAGCAGCCAGCCTGCCCTTAAGTGAGAACACGAATGGCCAGGCATGCGGAGAGGGCCGCTGGGACGCAATTCCGCTTTCCCACGTGGGATCCGCTGCAGCCCGCGGTGCTGTCTGCAGCTGAGCATCGCAGCAGGACCAGCCTGCCTCACACAAAAGCCGGAGGAGCGGCTCTGTGCTCCCGCAGGCCAGAAACACCAAAGTGGCAGAACAATTTTGGTTCTTTCATCCCAGGTTTTATATTCCAGTTTGTGTTTTAAAATCCCCAAATATTACATTTAAAACTGACTTTTCAGAGGCTGTTGCTCAAATAGAACTGCGACAAGTTCAGCACATCCCCCCTGTCCAGCTCAGTGTATTTCCGTTCACACACGAACTCCGTGTGTTCGCAGCAAGCCCGTTTCCTGATGCCGTGTATTTCAACTGTGTTCTCTGCAGGTCGCTAGGATTCTCGAAGTCTCGGAGGAGATGCGGAAGAACATGGGCGTGAGCTCAGGGCTGGAGCTCATCACCTTGCCGTACGGCCACCAGCTGCGTCTGGACATCATCGAGAGGTGAGCAGCGCTGTCCCCTGCACTCCTGGCCCTCTCCGTCCTCCTGTCTCTCTCCAGAGCAGAGAGGGGCCCAGCACTGATGCCTGAGCCACTTCTGTCAGGGGGAGGGGTGGCCCGGGCCAACTTTCCCCAGAGGCTCAGCCAGAGAATTCCTGGAGACGTACGAAGAGGAAGTCAGGGAGCAAAGAACACGCTCCCGTCGGTTCCAGATTGCTTTCAGAATTCAGTGGGAGTTTGGGGAAAGGCTGGGAAGACCAGAGTCTGAACGTTTTCTTTGACGGGTGGACAGATGGGGGAGCAGAGGTCAGAGGTCAGAGGGCGAGGGCACACGGACCCTCTCCCCTCCGGACCTTGAAGAATCACTGTCTTCTCCTCATGAAGAGCCAGGGCCCTGGCTGTCCCTGTAAACCCACACACATGGACGTCGGATGTTTAGAAATTAGAAAGACAGAAATAGCAAGGCATGTTTTTAAGAAAAGAAGCACTAGCCTTGATTATCGTATTCGCGTAGAAGTTGGTCTTCCTGACACACAAAACGACAGTTGATTTGGGCAAGACTACCCTGTTAAACTTTCTGTTTTTCCAACCCATTTCCCATTGGCACGGCACACGTGTGGGTTGTCATGGTCAGCCAGGCCCTGAGGCCAGCAGCCCCGGCCCAGGCTCTTCTGTGACGGCTGACCTTCTTGTCTCCGTGTGGCAGCCACGTGTGGAGGGACAGGACGCTTTATTCCGCTGCTCAGTGTTCTATGTGTCCGTAGCCACACGTGGCCAGTGGGCAGTGTGGCCCGAGGATGTCAGCCCGAGAAAGGAAGCACCGCCTTCCGGTGGCCGGGGGTCCCCACCACTGCCTTCAGGGGTGCCTGCTGCACAGCAGACAAGGAGGCTCCATGCCGCTGTTGTGGCTTCACAGCCGCAGAAGCATCCACCGTAGACGCCAGAACCCGAATGAGAGGCTTCTGAGAGGCAGGAGCCAGAAACGCTGACTTTGTTCAGGCATCCTTGTTGTCGAATGCCTTTGGGCAGTGGTCGGCAAACTCATTAGTCAACAGAGCCAAATATCAACAGTACAACGGTTGAAATTTCTTTGGAGAGCCACATTTTTTAAACTTAAACTTATTCTAATGCCACTTCTTCAAAATAGACGCGGCCAGGCCTTGGTATTTTGTGGAAGAGCCACACGCAAGGGGCCAAAGAGCCGCATGTGGCTCAAGAGCTGCATGCAGTTTGCCAACCACTGCCTTTGGACAATTGTAGGTCTGGCTTCTGAATTTTTTTGCTTCTCTGATCAGATTTTTCCAGATTCCAGCCTCCCTCTCCCCGTGTCCTCTTCCCTCCCCACGTCCAGGGCCTGGCGTCTCAGGGCCACTAACTTCTCTGTTGTCGTCTGGGCTCAGTGGTCACGGCTTCAACAGAACTGAGCGGTGCCACCAACTTCCCCCTTTCTCACATGGCACATTTTTTCAGTCTGAAAACTCCCCACGCCCCCGGCCTCCTTTGATCGGTCTCATCAGGTGTGTTGGACGTGGGGCCCTGGCCGAGGTCGGCAGGCATGGGGCTTCTCCTTTGGCTATTTTCAGACTTCCACTCCCGTCTGCATCCATTTCCTCTTTCTCCTGGTTGCTAGTGGCCTCTGCTCTCACTTCCTGCTTGTTTCCTGCCCAGGCTAGCCTGTGGGTCTGGGGAGCCGGTTTCTTCATTACAATGTGTTTAAATAAAGGTCGAAGGTATAGTGGCCCTGGAAGGCCAAATTACATCATCTTCCTGCATTTCAGAATCCAATACGAATCCACTCTTTATTTCTTAATTTACCACTTGCCCATTCCAGGCCTCCCGCGGGGGCACACCACTCGATAGCAGTCAGTGCCCCTGCTGCCAGCCCCTGTGGCCCCGGAGCAGATGCTCCAGGCGGGTGTCTTTCCCAGAGTGGTGCCCGCAGGAAAAGGGGGCTTTAGGCAAATGCTGGTTGAATGAATGGAAAGGGATAGAGTTAGCCAGTTAACCATTGGTGTAATGCCAGGTCTCAAAGAAGTAGAAAATATGTCTTTTATTAAAGGGCTATTAAAGCATTGGGGGGGGGGGAGAACACTGAATAAAAAATAGACTAAATGCAACATGAAACATTAGTTGACTATTTGTTAAAAGAAACATCTAAGATGTTTGGCTCCACCTTAACTTTTTGCAAATGGTAACAACACTCTTCAATAAACAACAGATGATAAAAATAGGCTTTAATTCTATGTTAGGATCCATTAATTAAGAAAGACAAGAAACCAGGAGGGAGATAAATAAAGCAAAAGAGACAGGCAAAAATGGACCAAGACACAGAGGGAAAGATGTACCATAGAGATCATCATAGGAACAAGTACTGTTTGCCTGGTGCCTACCAGTGCCACATGCTTGGATTATTTTTATACCTACAAATAGTCTCTATTTCTCACAATTGCTCTTGTCCCCATTTTACAGATGAAGAAATCGAGGCACGGAGCAGTTAGATAACACCTTAGGCCACACTGCGAGCAAGCAGCACACGTGCCTATAGGGTGGGCAAAAGGAGGTTTCCAGTTGTTCTATGGAAAATAATATAATAATTAATATATGACACAGCCAAAACTCGGTTTCACATACTCACAACTGCATGCCTACTTGTGCCCCACCCTGAGTATGTACAAACACAGAGACGGCAGAGTTCATTACTTACTTTTTATTTATTTTTATTTTTTGTTAATCCTCACTCAGGGATATTTTTCCATTGATTTTTAGAGAGCGTGGAAAGGAGGGGGAAAGAGAGAGAGAGAAACATGGATGTGAGAAAGACACATCAATTGTGTGGCCTCCTGCACGGGGTGCCCAGGACCGAGACTACAAACCGAGGAACATGCCTTTGACCGGAATCAAACCTGGGACTTTCCAGTCCGCTGGCCAGCACTCTATCCACCGAGCCAAACTGGCTAGGGCAGGGCTCGTTACTTATATAACAAACATGAGCATGTGGACGAAAACGAGTGGGGAGGAGGATGAGCTCAGTGGCGGCCTTACACACCCAGAGACCTAAAGGAGCCACACAGGATGGTCTGACCATAAACATTCCCAACTAAAAGCGGGTCAGAGTGGGTAGTCACATCCTAAGCCTGTAGCTTCCTTGACAAAGGTCAGCGGTTACCTTGGAAGCCTTTATCACTGTGCATCTAAGATAACAAACCTTTGAAATGTCAGAGTAATTTTCTTTTCCTGACCCCTCGGAGGCACCAGAGCAGGAGACACATTGCTATCTCGCTGCCCACATACCATCTCTCTGTGCTGTAAATGTCAGCTGCCTCACACCCACCCATGGGAGAGAAGCATGTGCCTCCCAGTCTTGCTTTTTACAATATCTCATCCCGGTGATAGCCCAGCTTTGCGTTCTCCTGCCGCCCTAATCTACCACCGGTGGATTTCATGTGACACTCTTACACCTCCTCCTCTGAGTCTAACGTATACAATAAGCTGCAAAACTGTCCATTCTCTGGAGCATGTTCTCAATCCATTGAAATTTCGATTCCCAGCTGTTGACACCAGTTGGGCTCAAATAAATCTTCTAAGATGTTTTCCTAGATGGGACTTTGGCCAGCAAGGGAAACTAGTAATGCTAGGCACGAGGTGAATCATGCCCAAGGAAAGAGAGAGGGCCCCACACCTGTGGGCACAAGACAGCAGCATGACCTTGGAGTGGCATCCTCAGCTGGGAGCTCCCAGGACAAGGTGGCCCCGGACTTTCAAACATGTGTATCTTAGTAACCATGCTATGGATTGGGGCTTCACCTCCAGCACTGGTATCAGCCTGGAGGAAATGTGATGGCGGCCATTCTGGCCTTGTGCAGTCAACTCCACAACCCTGATTTTCAGAGGGAAGGAAAGGGACTTCAGTCTGTGCTGCCTGCCACCAATAGGAGACTCTGTGTGACCCCTCAGCAGCCCATGGAGACTCTGTGACCCCTCATCTGCCTACAGAGACTCTGTGTGACCCCTCAGCAGCCCCATGGAGACTCTCTGTGAGCCCCATTGTCATGTAGAGAAAAATCACGCTGCTTCCTGTCCTGGGTCTGTAAGGTCAACCTATAGAGTTGCATTGTTGGAAGATACAAACAAGATTTCCATTTTCTCAGAGCCTGACCTAACGGGGACATCTTGCCAGTCCGCTGTTCTGTCTTCCTCCACATCCCCACTCACATTCTGGCCTCTTGACCAGAACTGCAGACACTATTCTTAGCTCCTCATTCCTTCCTTTGTTCTGACACCTTTGTCATTGTCCTGGATCAAGCATATTCTCTCCTTTTTCTGTTCTTTCCATTTCCCACATGGGGGCTCAGTGGAGATGGCCCGGGGCTTCCCTAAGTGGGGAGTCCCTCATGTGTTGGGGGGACCTGGTGTCTCCTTGGGTCTCTCATGGTGGAAGGTAAATCCAAGGAGCCTGTGCATTTCGCCTGAGGAGGTCCCTCTTCACGCCCTAGATCCAGCCTGAACAAGGCCAGGTCCTGGCCTCTGGCCTCTGCATAGTGACCTCTCTGAGGCCTGTGCGGTCCCACCGCAGCCAGCCTGTGAGGTGGCCTCCGGGGAAATCATAGCCAAACTCTCTGAGCCACCGGCTCACCTCAGCAGCATGAACAGCACCTGGTGTGAAGTCAATCTGTTTCCTAGCTGGTTTGGCTTCATTTCCTCCTCGTCCTGTTGACCCTGGGGCTCACCACCGACCTCCTTTCCCGCAGACACAGCACCATGGCCATCGGCATCGCCGTGGACGTCCTGGGCTGCACGGGCACTCTGGAGGACCGAGCGGCCACCCTCAATCGGGTCATCCAGGTGGCGGTGGAGCTGAAGGACTCCATGGGGGACCTCTACGCGTTCTCGGCCATCATGAAAGCCCTGGAGATGCCGCAGGTACGTCTCCCCTCGCTCCGAAGCCCCGGGCCTGTGTGTGCTTTCTGTTCGCGAGCCCACACTCAGCACATCCCACAGGGCGTCAGCCAGTCTCAAGAGGTAAGTGGCTTCGCAATGAAAGCTGCTTTGATCGGGGGCCAACCAAGAATAGGGTCCTAAGCATTTTGGCTGTTTTTAAAAACAATGGGTAATGGCCGAGAGCCCATCCTTTCTCTTTGATGCACAATAAGAAGAGTCACCCTCAAGATCAGGTCCCTGAAGAACCAGCCTGGATGCGGTGTCGGGCGCAGGTGTGCCGGGGAAGGACTGCGTCCCCCTGAGTCACCACGCGTGCGGGCCATTTGGGACAACGACGGAAAACAGCCCTGTGGGGAGCTTACATCCGAGAATCCCTAGAGTGCTTTGTCTTCCAGAACAGTGGTCAGCAAACTCATTAGTCAACAGAGCCAAGTATCAAGAGTACAACGATTGAAATTTCTTTTGAGAGCCAAATTTTTTTAAATGTAAACTTCTTCTAACACCACCTCTTCAAAGTAGACCCATGGTGTTTTGTGGAAGAGCCACACTCAAGGGGCCAAAGAGCCGCATGTGGCTCTTGAGCCGCAGTTTGCCGACCACTGTCCTAGAATGTTCCTCAGGTTGCCTAAAACAGCCTCGCCTCTCTTACTAAAAACTCCAGATTTCTGGATCATCTGCCAGATAGCCCCCTAGTTAGAGGCTCTGAAATCGGGCGCTTTGAATGTATCTGCTTTGACGGGCTGTTTTTAGGATGAGTGTCCAAACGGAAAACGTGTGTTTGAAATCGGGCGGCCCACACAGAGGAGCACGGTCCTGTGGTCCCGCCTCCCGGCTGTGCTCCCGGCCCTCAGCCCTGTGAGCCCCGTCTGCAAACAGGAACCCCAAACCACTCGCCCTCCAGCGTGGCTGTTCAGAGCCCGATTGCCCTGGACCCCCCGGGCCCTCACACCCAGTGTCACCCCTGGGAGGGCAGCTACGGACACGTGCCCTGTGGGGGCTTGTTAGGAACACGATTTCCCACTTGAAAGCAAGGTCACCTTAGAAACAAGAAGTCTAACAACTTGGTTCTTTCGTCAGGAACATCGGGGAGGGGGTGTCAGCCCCAGTTAGAATGTAACAAAAAGTATACAGACATCTTTAGGTTAAGGTGACCAGACATCCTGCTTTTGGCGGGACTGTCCCGCCAAAAGCGGGACGTCTGGTCACCTTACTTTAGATGCCCTGGGACTGGGTAGGGCTGATGCTGGGACTAGGCAGGCCCGGCCGTATTTTCATGATACACTGGCCTCCGCAGCATCGGGAGTTCTGATTTTTCATTCGGTTGGCATGAGATTTATTTCCTCTTTATCCGAACCTGTATACAACTTGGAGAGCCTGGCCCACGAGCTGGGCTGTGTGAGTAGCCCCCCAGCCCAGAGCTCCCCCGGAGAGGGGTAAAAAGGGTGCGTTGTGGCATTCCCTGGCTGCCGCCCCTGGCATCAAACTCTGCGGTCAGGGACTTCTCCCCAGGAGCTCAGGGCCCCGTGAGGCAGCCTGTTTGGGGAGGGAAGTGGCAGACCCAGCGGAAACCCCAGAGGAATCACATCACGTCTGTGTCTCGCCAGCCAAACCCGCTGCCGCACTAGAGCCCCCCGGCCGCTTCCTCTCCGGCGTCTCATCCCCGGAGAGCCTCGGGCAGAGGGCTCTTTCAGAAAGGAGAAGCTGGAGGCTGAGGAAGCGCAGGGACGTGGGGGAGAGGGCAGCGTGGTGGGTGGCCGGAGGAAGACCGGCCCACATCCTTTCCTTCCCAGAAAGTCCGCCGGTGTGGTCCCTGCTCCCCTCGCCCTTGGAACACACAGGCGCGTGAAATGCAGCTCCGCTCTGTCCCTGACCAGCTGTGCTACCTCAAGCAAGCACGCCCTCATCGCTGCTGGTTTCTATCTGTAACCTGAGGCCTAAATACCTGCTTCACAGGGTATTATTGCGAGGACTAGATGGAATTCCTCAGCTGCCTGAGCTGGCGCTGGTTCCCTAGATCTTAGCGCGCTTCCTCCCCGCTTGGCTTCATGTAGAAACTGCAGACACTGAGGCCTGCGGTGTCACCGTGCGTGGGGGACCGTCTGTCTGAGGGGAGCCAGGGTCAGGAGCCCATGTTGGTGTGAAGGAATGAGACGTGGCAGCACGCGGCCTGGGCAGTCCCCCGTGTCTCAGACGTGACAACTTAAGAGTCCCGTGGAGCCAAAACCAGTTTGGCTCAATGGATAGAGCGTCGGCTTGGGGACTGAAGGGACCCGGGTTCGATTCCGGTCAAGGGCATGTACCTTGGTTGCGGGCACATCCCCAGTAGGGGGTGTGCAAGAGGCAGCTGATCGATGACTCTCTCATCGATGTTTCTAACTCTCTATCTCTCTCCCTTCCTCTCTGTACAAAATCAATAAAATATATTTTTTTTTAAAAAAAGAGTCCCGTGGGACTGCCGGCCCCGCATCCCGACAGCGTCCCTGCGGTGCGGCCTCCGGGGGAGCCCGCTGGCAGCTCTACCCGCCTTTACAGTGCAGGCGCTCCTTGGCCCGGGGGTTCCGCTTCTGGATGTTTCTCCTCCACCTGTTGCCACACGTGTGCACGTTTGCAAAATCTTCACGAGGGAATTTTGTCATTGAAAACTGGAGGCTGGTTAAAATGTAGTGTATCCTGCAAGTGGGACATAATACAGAAGCTGAAGAAAAAATAAGGCGGTTCTATGCTGTTTTTTATGTACTTATAGGAGAGGTTTCCAAATAAGGAACAAAAAACGTGTCGTATGACGTGCATTTATTTATTTGCAAGTGGAGTGTGTGTGTTCACACAGACATACATACACATACAAGAAACTGATGAGAGGACTAGTCCCTGCCTTCAGAGCAATGCAGACAAAGACAAGGGTGGGGGATTGACTTTTCTCTGTACACTCCTTCCAACTGCTTTGACTTTTTTAACATGTGCATCTATCATCTATTCTAAAAATTTAAGCAAGAAGGTCACGTTAGCCCTGGCCGGTGTAGCTCAGTTGGTTGAGTATAATCCTGTGCACCAGAGGGTTGCTGGTTTGCTTCCCAGTCAGGGCACATGCCCGGGTTACGGGCACAATCCCCATAGGGGGTGTGCAGGAGGCAGCGGATCGATGTTTCTCTCCCCCTCCCCGCCTCTCTAAAATCAATAAAAACATATTTAAAAAACTTTTAAAGTCATTTTAAAGAAGGACCTTTTACAAAATAGCAACATCTGTCTTCTTTTCAGATTACGAGGCTGGAAGAAACGTGGACGGCCCTACGGCGCCAGCACACCCAAACCGCCATCCTCTACGAGAAGCAGCTGAAGCCGTTCAGCAAAGCTCTGCACGAGGGCCGAGGTGAGCGCAGGGTCGGCTGAGCTGCCCCAGTGGCTCCGATAGGACCACAGGTTGTGTCTGCTCTGGTTTGGTCAAAGCACTGAGCAGGGCATGCTCTGAGCTCGGAGTGGCCTGCAGGATCCATGTTGTCCTGAATGGAGGAGAGCATTCGTTCCCAGTGTGTATCCCTTGATCAGCTGTATCTTAAAAAAAAAAAAAAAAATTCAGTCAGGTCCTCTGCCTACTTTTTAAATCAGATTGGTGTTTTTGTTTTTTGTCTTTTTTGCTATTGAGTTCTGAAAGTCCTTTATATAGTATTTTGGATATTTATCCCTTATCAGATATAGGATTTGCAGATATTTCCTCTCATTCTGTAGGCTGACTTTTCTCTTTGTTGGTCTCCTTTGCTGAGCAGAATTTTTAGTTTGATGTCGTCTCACTTGTTTAGTTTTGCTTTTGTTGCCTTTGCTTTTGGTGTCAGGTTCAAAAACACATCACCAAGCCCAATGTCAAGGAGCTTACCACCTGTGTATTCTTCTAAGAGTTTTATGGTCTTAGGTCTTACCTGTAGTCTTTAGCCCATTTTGAATTAATTTCTGTATGGAGTGAGATAGTGGTCGAGTTTCATTCTTTGGCATGTGGCTGTCCAGTTTTCCCAGAACCATTTATTGAAGACTGTCCTTTCCCCATTGTATGAATATTGGCTCCTTGAGCATCTGTGTGTGAGTTTATTTCTGCTTTCTCTTTCTATTCCATTCTCTCTGTGTCTGTGGTGGGGTTTTTTCTTTTTTTATGCCAGTACCATACTGTTTTCCTTACTGTCGTTTTGTAATGTAGTTTAAAATCAGGGAGCATGATGCTTCCCCCTTTGTTCTTTCTGAAGATTGCTTTGGCTTTTTGGTGCCTTTTCTGGTTCTATACAAAATTTAGGATTGGTTGTTCTATTGCTGTGAAAAATAGGAATTTTATAATGATTGCATTGAATCTGTGGTTTGCTTTGGGTCGTATGGACATACCAAAGAGTGCAAAGGTATTACTCACCAGCCTGTGTTCCCGGAGAACACCTCCTAGACATGTGCCATCCCCGGAACCTACCCCTCAGAGGGAAGCTCCAGGACAAGCAAACTGGCCTCTTTCACAGAAAGACGGGCCTGTTTTCTAGTCTTCTCTGGGCAGGGAAGGGGGAGCCTGCCCAGCACTCCCTCTCCAATTATTATGATCCAATGGGACCCAAGAAAACAACTTTCTCTGAGTCACGTGACCAGGGCGAAGCCCTTGGGTGCGGCTGCAAAAACCAGGGCACCAGCTCCATGTAAAAGCTCTCCTCTGGGAGAGCACCAAGTAGTGCCCCCCCACTCCCCCTTGAGGTCTCTGCAAAGGATTACAATCAACCCTCGGACGTGTCTTTAATTAGAAACCTGCCTCTCAGTTATGATCTAAGCTCTGAGGCCACAGAGCTGTGCCTCTTGCTGTGCTCTGGGGCAGTGGCTGTTTAAGAACTCTTTCTCCATTGGTTAGTCCTGTGACACCCTGGGCACAAGTCCCACTGGCCACCAGCGCCTGGCACTGTGGAGGTGGCCCCTGGCAGCAGCCGTGAACATCGGGTGCCAGACAAGGATGTGGGCTCCTTTCTGAAAGAGACCAGTGAGCCGAGCAAACTGCGGAGGAGCTTATAGATGGCTCCCACAGAAAAAAGAGAAGAAAAGCCCTGGCCAATGTGGCTCAGTTGGTCGGAGCATCATCTCATACACCAAGAGGTGGTGGGTTCAATTCCTGGACAGGGTACATACCCAGGGTGTCGGGGTATGTAAGGGAGACAATCAATAGCTGTCTTCTCAAATCAATAAAAAAAATCCTTGGGTGAAGATTAAAAGAAAGAGAAAAAACAGGAGGAGCCTAGTATTTTAAAAATAGAGGCACCCACTGGCTAGAATGAGGCAGAGTATGAAGATGGTGCCTGTCCGCTAAATTACATGACAGCCCTCTCGCTGAGCACAGGGCAGGTGACTCAGAGCATGTGAGCTCTCTAAGAGCTATTTCTCAGATTATAGTCTTGTAGGTCTCATGAACTTGAGCTCCATTGGTTTTTAAAGCTAGAACTTTTGAAGACTTGACTCTCAGCACAGGTCTCAGAAGTCGGGGAGCCCAATGTGGGGTTCAAGCCCCTGGCTCCTCAGGGAGCAGCTCTGGGTTGTGAGTTCCCTCCCGACTGCGGGTCGCTGTACGGGGCCTGGGGTTTATGATGAGACTGTGTCCCAGCCTCTCCTCCATGCTTCCACGTGGGCCTCTCTCATTGGCCTGATTTGTAGGAGTTCCTTTTTCCAGAGGCAGTTGTTCCATATTTAGCTGCAGATTTAATGTGTCCAGGGGGGAGGTGGGACTAGGATTCTCCTACCTCACCATCTTAACTTTGGGAGAAAGAAATGATCTGGACAAAAATGTTCCCCTTGTTTTTCAGAGTCCACGTGTGTCCTCCCAAACAATATATCAGTCCCCCTGCTGATGCCTCTTGTGACTTTAATGGAACGACAGGCTGTCATTTTTGAAGGAACTGACACGTGGGAAAAGACTGACGAAGGCTGTGAGATTATGATGAACCATTTGACAACAGCCCGCTGCATGGCAGAGGCTGCACATAGTTACCGAGTGAATGCCGAGAGGATCCTGGAAGGTAAAAGCTGGCTGCTCTTCATAAGCTGCTGTCCACTCGGAATAGTCATTGGAATGAAGGAATAAAAGAGCACGGATGTTCTCAATTAGAAAAGGCCAAGTAGGAAAGATTGAGACATGGGAATTCTGTTTCCTCCATGACTGGTCATTACTTCCTCTGAATTCCTGACTTAAGGGCCCTGCGTCTCTCTTCTTTGTATGTATTCTGTTGAGTCATTGGCATAGAATAGAGAGAGAAAAGGTCAAGAAAGCATTGGGCAGCTCTCCTACCTCTAATAATTACCATTAGAACACATGACGGGCCAACCTAAGGAGTCAGAGTTTTATTTGACTTCACTTATCTGCGTGCCTATTTCTTCCCAGTCACGCTGGGAACGGAGCTCCCTGCTCTTAGCATGGAAGGGTCCAACACAAGCACAGGCCCTAGGAGAGCTTGGGGGAAAGTACAAAACACAAGGACGTGGGTGTGGGTTAGTGTAAAGTGTGTCTTCAGGAATGGCCAACCAGGCTGAAGAAGGAAGTGGGAGGGAAAGGTGGGAGGTGCCATCACGTGGTCACATTGGTGCCTCAGATCTGGCCTCTAGGGGGGGGAGGGGGAGAGAGGGGGGAAGGGCTGAAGGCTTTTAGGCAAAAAGACCATTTAGGAAGCAAATGCAAAAACAAGGACTTGATTGAGGCAGTTATCAGGGTCGACTCTTTTCTCATCCTCCCTAATTTTTTAATTTCTTCAAGAGCCAACAGTTTGATCCACAAGGTTAAGAACTTAGTGGGGTGACAGAGGCTTATTATTTAACAGTAAAACAATGCTGTTGCCGCAGAATCAGAGATTAGGGCTAAATAGTTTGCATTGTGCCTGATAGAGGTGTAAGCATTATATACCTGTTTCATTTTTTTCCTCAGAATGTTCTCCAAGGTTAGCAGTGTAGAACTTAAATAATAAAAGCACATAATTCACCAGATAGTACAGTGCCTGCTTATATAAAGCCAATAAATGTATTACATTGGATGGTGCCTAAGCCAAAAGTGTGCTTTAAGTTGTTCTATAGCAAATTACTTCAAAGGTATCAGATAGTATTTCTCGGTTGATCCTGCTACAGGTTTACAGAGCAAGTTCCCATTGCTGGGCCTGACTGTGAACTCCCTAAGGGTAGATATTTGCTCACCGTCATATCCCTGGCACCCAGCCCAGGGTAGGGGCTCAAAGCATATTAACTGAATGAATGAAGTTGTCATCTGGCCTCTGGTTGGTTATCTGTCAAAGATATTCTGGCATCACAGGGAAAGATGGACTGAAATTTATCTATTATCCTCTCACCCACCAAGATCCTCTGACCTAGATGGTGGGAATATGTTGAACGACAGAGCACAGCACTCCAGCAATAATGGAGGATGAGGGCCCTGGCCAGTGTGGCTGTTGATTTGGTGTCCTCCCGTCCACCAAAACGTCCCTGGTTTGATTCTTGTCAGGGCACATGCCCAGGTTTCGGGCTTGATCCCAGGTCGGGACATGCAGGAAGTAGCCAATCAATATTTTGCTTGCATCAAAGTTTCTCTCTCTCAAAAGAAAAATAAGGATGAGAACCACATGCTTGTGTGACTCTTTGGCTAGAGATTTCCCCTTTCTAAGAGTTGACTGAGCGTCCGTGGCCTTAAGTAGACCAGATAGTTCTCTTTTAGAGAAGAGGAGAGTTGAAAAATAGGCTTACACACATAGTTGTCAACTGTCTTTTTTTCAATCTTTTTTTAGTCAATTGATTTTTTTAAAATTTATCCTTGCCCAAGGATGTCTTTATTGATTTTTAAAAATATATATTTTTATTAATTTCAGAGAGGAAGGGAGAAGAGAGAGAGATGATACATCAATGATGAGAATCATTGATCAACTGCCTCCTGCACACCCCCACTGGGGGTCAAACCCACAACCCAGGCATGTGCCCTTGTCTGGAATCGAACCCAGGACCCTTTAGTCCTCAGGCAAACGCTCTTTAGTCCTGAGCCAAACCAGCTAGGGTTGTGTTTATTGACTTTTTAGAGAAAGAAACACGGCTGTGAGAGTGAAACAACTATCAGTTGCTTCCCGCACATGCCTGACTGGGAATCTAGCCTGGCGTGTGCCCTGACTGGAGAACGAACCCACACCCTTTCCTGGTGCACCAAGTGATGCTCCAACCCACCGAGCCACCCAGCCAGCCTGCCATTTGATTTTTGACAAAAGTGTCGAGTAATTCATTGGATAAAATATAGTCTTTCCGCAAATGGTGCTGGAACTATTGATTATTATATGCAAAAAAAAAATCTTTACCTCATCCCATACATAATAATTAATTAAAAAATGATCATAGAACCAAAATATGAGTAAAGTAAAAGTAACTGGAAAGCTCCTATAAGAAACCACGGGAGTCTTGGCAGTGTGTCTCAGTGGTTGAGTGTGGACTTACGAACCAAGGGGATGATGATTCGGTTCTCTGTCAGGGCACATGCCCAGATTGCAGGCTGTCACCACTAGGGATGTGCAGGAGGCAGCCAGTCAATGATTTTCTCTCATCATTAATGTTTCTATCTCTTTCTCCTTCTCCCTTCCTCTCTAAACTCAATTTAAAAATATTTTTTAAAGTATATATTTAAAAAAAACAAAAAAAACACAGGAGAAATTCATTGTGACCTTAGGTTAGGCAAAGATTTTTTTAGGATACAAAAAGCATGAACCATAACAGAAAACACTGATAAATCAAAATTTTAAATTTTGCTCTTTAAAGACACTAGTAACAAAGTGAAACAGCACTGCACAGATTAGAAAAGAATATTTGACAAACATACAGGACGGGACCAAAGGAGGTTTATAGTTGTGTATGTGAAAAATAATAATAAATACAAGAATAAACTGTTTTGTATACTCACAACTGTAAACTCATTTTTGCTCCTCTCTATATCTATAAAGGACTTATATCTAGAATATATTAGGAATTCTTAGAACTCAATGAGAAGACAAACAAGATTTGAATAGACACACCAGAGATGATAATGAATGGCAAGAATGACAATACTAAAGGTTGGCAGCCTGTGGAGAAAATAGAATCTTCGTATTACTGATGAGAATATAAAATGGTGGAGCCATTTTGGAAAAGAGTTTGAGTTTCTTAAAAGTAAACATATATTTACCATATGCCCTAGTGTTTCCACTCTCAGAGAAATGAAAAGCACATATCCACACAAAAACATATACATAAATGTTCATAACATTATTCATAATACTCAGAACAGGAGACAACCCAAATGCCCACCCGCTGGTGGACGGATAAACAAAATGTCACATGTCCATGTAACTGAATACGACGATAAAAAGGAATGCGTTAGTGATAACACAACAACATAGAATAATCTCAGAAACACCATGCCAGCGAAAGAAGCCAGACACAAAAGTCCATGTTATATAAGTCTGTATTAAATTTCTAGAAAAGGCAAAACAATAGCAACAAAATGCTGATTTGGGGGGGCGGGGTGTGTGTCTGAGGTAGGAATGGGGACTGACTGCACTGGAACACAGGGAAACTTTCTAGGGTGACGGAAGTGTTCTATAACTAGTGGTGATGGTGGTGCGGGTAAAATGGGTGAATCATGACATGTACATGATACATCGATGAAGTTGTAAAAGCCCACCAGGTACTCGGACCACTCCCTCTCACAGCACAACCCACCGTGGCTTGTGCACGTGAATGTTCCTCTGCCGTAGCTGAGTGAGCTCACTGTTACCCTTTCTCTACCGGTGCTCAGGTCCCCCTTACAGACAGCAGATCCTGTGCTTTACCTGGGGGGATTGTTTAAAAGTTCTGAGAGATGAAGTTCATTTTGATCCTACTTTAAATGAGCGAGTTTTCCATCTGTTTTCTACACTGGTTTAGGCAGAACTGGAAAAAAAAATTGTTTTGTTTTGTTTTGTTTATATTAGGTTTTCAACCAGATGAAGAAATGAGTGAAATAATCACGACTGAATTTCAAATGCGATTGCTCTGGGGCAGCAAAGGTGCGCAAGTCAACCAGGCAGAGAGATATGAGAAATTCAACCAGATTTTAACTGCCCTCTCACGTAAACTGGAGCCTCCTCCTGTAAAGCAAGCAGAGCTTTGATGACTTTCCAGAGAACGTTCAGATACTGCTTCAGGCTTCTCCAGTTTCTTCTTTGGAAAAACATCATTTGAAGAAGTAATAACGTGCAAATCTGACAACATACAGGCTTTTAGTATCCACAGGATATTAAACATGTAAATTGCACAGAGCACACTTATTTATGAGTTGTTTAAAATTACTACTGATTTTTAAATGAAAGATAATTTATTATTAAGGTAACTATTGCTAATGTTGATCAGCAAATTTGAGAGAAGACACTAGCTACGTTGACTGGTTGCATTCTATTACTGAGGTATTTAACCACTTTAGTTTTAATTCCATGTCAGGAAAGTGTAAATAGAAAAGAATTTAAAAGCATGAAACATTGCAGACAGTATCAGTTGTATGATATTCATTAACTATGAAAAAATGTAAATAGCCCTATGAAAATATATCTTTTTTGTGAAACTGTCTCCAGAATCTTTACTATTAAGCCACCATCATAGTACAATAACTTTATCTCCTCACCTTGCTGGGTCACCCTCCTCCGGAGCCACTAGGTTCTGACAGTAAACAAAACAAAAACAATGGTCTGACGTGGACAATGGGAGGTTTCTGGCTTGGGAGACAGTGACCAGTGATACAGAGCAGAAGACACGGATTGAAAATCAAGCTGTGGTGCTTGCAAGCTCGCCTCACCACCCCCGTGTGCCGCACAGCGCCGGGCACAGAGTGAGCACCCAGAAGCTAGTGTATTTCATGCCATCACAAGTGTTTCAAAAACAGTTGACTGTTATTTTTCCTCTGATTAGTATAAGTTTTCTAGATTCTTTACTTCCCAAAGGGTATACTTTCTATTATAGTTGATCAGTATCCCTCTGAAGTTTTTCTATTGTAGAAAATTTGGAATACAAGATTACAAAATAAAACACAAGATTACAAAATAAAAGTAATCACTCTGCCACCAACTGTCAGACGCCAATTTGGTTTTTCTTCTGATCTCCTAAATAATTTTGAGACCATACACAAGAGTTTTATATCCAACTTTTCTCCAAGTTATCTTTGTTGTTGTTGTTGAGAGTATTCCAGATGTCCCTCATTTTTGCCTCTATGCCCTCCTCCACCAGTTGCAGTCTATCTTTAAAAAACAAGCCTCTGATCAAGCTTGGGGTGGGAGCCTGGAATGCCAGATACTTAGAGGGAGAAATTAAACTGTGGCTCCAGAGCAGGCGTCTTCAAACTACGGCCCGCAGGCCACATGCGGCCCACAGAGGAGTCTGATCCGGCCCGCCAGGTTTTTTGGGCAGTGAGCGCAGCCGAGGTGTTACAGTAGGAATTAGTAGTTCATATAGTCCGGCCCTCCAGCTCTCTGAGGGACCGTGATCTGGCCCCCACTTTAAAAAGTTTGAAGACGCCTGCTCCAGAGTGAGAGAGCTGGAGGGACAGCCACCATTGTCTCTGTGCTGAACCCTCTGAGCCCAACTATCCTCCCCCCATGCATGCGCGCGTCCCCCCCCACCCCGCCCCCCCTCCCACACAACTAAAACTGATTCTGTATTAGCCTAGTGAACTCCATTAGCTCCACCCTGACAACTCCCTGAGACTCTGCCTCGCCCAACTCACATTCTGCCCAAGGGTCTGTCAGCAGCTGAGCCTTATGGGCAGCTGGCAGGCAGAGGTGGGTATCAGGGCGCCTTGGGCCTTTTGCTGACCTGCCCAGGTGACACCAGGCTCAGTGCAGTGTGGCCCCTCCCATGAACATCCAGGCCCAGGACAGGCAGCTACCAACTGCAGATCACCTTGTAGCTCCCAACAGGTAGCTGGTCAAAGGCAGCATCTGACATTGACCTGCACCAGCCCCTCCCAAGAGGCCCCAGAACCAACACACCCAGTGGCCAGCTTCAGAGCAAAACAGGCCACCACCTGATTAGCTCCATAAGTGGCACACCCAAAGAGAGGTGTTGGCAGGCACAAGACCCCACTGGGGTAAATCCCACTCATTGGGGTCAGATTCTAGACAGCATCTCATATTCTGTGGTCAATCCTCACAGTCAGTCAGCCTGAGGGTTAATCCCATATACTAAAGTGCTAATAGCAATCAAGGCTCAACTACAACAGGAGGGCACACACAACCCACAGGAAGGGCATGCCTGGAGCATCTGGATCAGGTGATCGGTGAGACTGTGCACTGGGTCCCCACAGGGCACCTTCTACATAAGGCCATCCTGCCAAGCCTGGGAAACGTAGCAGATCTACCTAATACAGAGAAACAAACACAGAGATAAAACCAAAGTGGAGAGACAAACGTTTCCCAAATGAAATAGAAGAAATCTCCAGAAAAAAGGACTAAATTAAATGGAGTCAAGAAGTCTATCAGATACAGAGTGCAAACACTACCGTAATTACAAAAATGCTCAGAAACAAAGAATACAATAACATGAATACACAAGAAGGCATCAACAGCACATTAGATGAAGCTGAGCATCAAATAGCATCTAAATAGAAGGCAATGTAGCAGAAAACACCCATTAAAAACAGCTAAAAGAACTTTAGAAATGAGGATAGTTTAAGAGACCGATGATACAACATTCAGTGTAACAATGTTGGAGAAGAGACAAAGCAAGGGTCTGAGAAGAAACAGTATTTGAAGAAACAATAACTGAAAACTGCCCTAACCTGGCAAAGGAAGCAGACAAAAGTTCAGGAACTGTTGAGAGTTCCAAACAAGATGAACTCAAAGAGGCCCACACCAAGACACGTCATAATTAAAATGCCAAAGGTTAAAGATAAAGAGAAAACCTTAAAAGCAGTAAATGAAAGCCAGTTGCTTACAAGGGAACTCCCATAAGACTGTCAGCTGATTTTTCAACATTAACTTTGTAGGCCAGAGGGATTGGCATGAAATATTCCAAGTGATAAAAAGAACCTATAATCAAGACTATTCTACAGAGTAAGGCTCTTATTTAAAAATGAATGAGTGCTAAAGAGCATCCAAGACAAGAAAAAGCTAAAGGATTTCATCACCACCAAACCAGTATTACAAGAAATGTTAAAGGGACTTAAGAAAAAAGGAGAAAAGGGATATAAACATAAACAATAAAAATGGCAATAACTATATATGTATCACTTTAAATGTAAATAGACTAAATGCTCCAATCAAAAGACACAGAGTATCTGAATGATTAAGAAAACAAGGTGCAGCCCTAACTGGTTTGGCTCAGTGGATAGAGTGTCAGCCTGTGGACTGAAGGGTCCCAGGTTCAATTCTGATCAAGGGCATGTACCTTGGTTGCAGGCACATCCCCAGTAGGGAGTGTGCAGGAGGCAGCTGATCAATGTTTCTAACTCTCTATCCTCTCCCTTCCTCTATATAAAGAAAATCAATAAGATATATTTCTTAAAAGCATCAGTGGACATAAAGGGAGAGATCAACAGTAATATATTCATAGTAGGGACTTTAATATACCATTGATATCAACGGATGGTCTTCCAGACAGAAAATCAACAAGGAAATAGCACCCTTAAATGACACAGAACCGATGATATTTTAGAGCATTTCACAATAAAGCAGCAAAATATACATTCTTTTCAAGTGCACATGGAATATTTTCTGAGATAGACCACATGTTAGGCCACCAAACAAGTCTCAATAAGTTTAAGAAAATTGAAATCATATCAAGCATCTTCTCCAATCACAATGGTATGAAACTAGAAATTAAGAAAACTGAAAAAACACACAAACACATGGAGTCTAAATAACATGCTATTAAACAATGAATGTGTTAACAATGAGACCAAGGAAGAAATCAAAAGATATCTTGAGACAGATAAAAATGAAAATACAGCCAAAACCGGTTTGGCTCAGCGGTAGAGCGTCGGTCTGCAGACTGAAAGGTCCCAGGTTTGATTCCGGTCAGGGGCATGTGCGTTGGTTGTGGGCACATCTCCGGTGGGGGTTGTGCAGGAGGCAGCTGGTTGATGTTTCTCTCTCATCGACGTTTCTAGCTCTCTATCTCTCTCCCTTCCTCTCTGTAAAAAATCAATAAAATATATATATTTTTAAAAATGAAAATACAATGACCCAAAATCTATGGGACACAGCAAAAGCAGTCCTAAGAAAGAAATTCATGGCATTATAGCCTACCTCTAGAAACAAAAACAATCTCAAATAATCTAATGCTACACCTACAGGAACTAGAAAAAGAATAACAAAGCCCAAAGTGAGTAGAAGAAAGGAAATAATAAAAATCAGAGTGAAAATAAACAAAATAGAGTCTAAAAAAACAACAACACAAAAGATTAATGAAACCGAGAGCTGGTTCTTTGAAAACATAAACTTGAAATTGGTAAACTTTTGACTAGACTCACCAAGCAAAAAAAGAGAGAGCTTTCCCCAGCTGCCAATAAGATGTTCAGTCCTCCGGTGGAGGTTAAGCCCATGTGAGACCCTCACCTCGTCCCGCAATGAGCACCATGCCTGGAAGCACTTGCCCAGCCCTCGCCCAAACTGTGTCTTCTGTCTGAGCTCGCCTGCATCTACTCAGCCCTCATCCTGCATGACGATGAGATAACAGTCACAGAGGATATGATCAATGGCCTCCTTAAAAGCAGCTGGTGTAAATTTGAACCTTTCTGGCCAGGCTTGTTTACAGAGGCTCTGGCCAATGTCAACATCGGGAGCTTCATCTGCAATGTAAGGCCTGGCGGGCCTGCCCCAGCAGGTGTGTGGGCTAGAGATCCTGCCCCTCTACCACTGCCGCCCCAGCTGAGGAGAAGAAAGCGGAAGCAAAGAAAGAATCTGGGGAGTCTGGTGATGACAAATGCTTTGGTCTTTTTGACTAAACCTCTCTTGTAACACATGAAATAAAAAGCTGAACTTTGGCAAGGGGAGACAAATAAATAAGACATGAAAGAGAAGTGACAACTGACACCAAAGAAGTACAAAGGATTATTTAAAAAAAATACTATGAACTATATGCCAACCAATTGGGCAATCTGGATGAAACATACAATCTTCCAAGAATGAATCAAGAAGAAACAAAAATCTGAACAGACCAATCACTACCAACCAAACCAAATCAGTAATTAAAACAAAAACAAAAAAAACTCCCAACAAACAAAAGTCCTGCACTGGATGACTTCACGGGTGAATTTTACCAAACACTTGAAGAAGAATTAACATCTATCCTCAAACTATCACAAAAAATTCAAGAGGAGGGAAGGCTCCCGAGCTTATTTTACAAGGCCAGCATTACCCTGATTCCAAAACCAGGCAAAAACATTACAAAGACAAAGAATTATAGGTCAATAACCCTAATGAACATAGATGCAAAAATTCTCAATAAAATATTAGCAAACTGGATCCAGAAATACATTAAAAAGATCATAACACCATGTGATGCATGCTTGGTACAATATCCACAAAGCAATTAATGTGATATACCAAATAAACAAATCAAAGGGTAAAAA